CACAAACCTGCTCTGAACTTCCCTGGCTGTTGGGGAGCTCATAATGGTCAAGTTTAAACTGAATCTGGCTGTGCTGGAACGTGCTGACCGATGCTGAGCCCGGTGGAGAGCTGCATGCCGAGGCTCTGCGGCAAGAGCCACCGGTTTTGCCGCGCTGTGCCCGGCTCCCGGGTGCAACAAAAACACGTTCCGGGGCTCCAGTGGGCTTGGCTTGTAAATCCCAGTTCTGAATGTTTGCTGTGAGTTTATTTCTGAAGCTTTTCCACTGTTGCCGTGCCAGTGGTTGCGACAGAGCCCTTCCCAGGAGAGCTGGGCTGGATGCCTGGCTCTCGAGACGGCGTTCCCGTAGCGATCTTCCAGCCTGTTCTCTGCGGGGTCGGACTGTTGCTCGCGGATTTCTGTTCGGTTACAAAGGAGGATCCGTAATTTCTCTGCGCTGCCTCTGCTCATCTCGTCTGGCCTTAATTAGACACAGCACATGGCGAAGGCGAGCGGGAGTGATTCTGGAAAGGGCTGGAACAGACCGAACGCGGGTGTTGCTTGTTGCGGCAGCGGCTCTGCGAAACCCACTCTGCCTCTGACAAAGATCCACTGGGACTTCTGGTGGCCCATCTGATTTGTGAAGAAACCACTTCCAAACCAAAAATGATCGTTCATCCTGTTGCTCTGAACGTGGGCTGTTTCAGAGGAGTGACTTCCTTGTTCTTTGGTTGTTTCGGAGCCGTTGAAAACTTGTTCTCACCGCGGTGGATATCAGTATGTCGAGTCGGAGCTGAGCATCCCGGTAGCTGGGAACTGCTGCCCACTGCCTTGGACTCAGCAGCTTTCCTGGTGCTGTGGTTGTAAGTGGTGAAACTGGTGTTTCATGGGTTGTAACGTGCCAGGCTTCCATGGAGTCGCTTGGCGCCGTCGGCTGGATCTTTGCCTCCGACTGCTTACGCCATTCCGCGCCTTTCTTGCTTGGAGCTGGTGGCTTTCGCGTATGGCTGCGGAGGGATTTCTGCTCTTCCCACCACGGGCATCAGGGCCAATGGGTCTGCCATGAGTGTGTGTGTGCCCGAGACACCCTCACCACCACCCAGCTGCGGTGGGCGAAGCTCTCGGAGCGTGCATGGGGAGGGTGGCTTCCATCAGTTCCATGTTGACCTCTGGATAAAACTGCTGTGTGGCTTGTGCGTGGGGCAGGGAAAAATGGGGGTTTGGAAAGGAAGCTTTACGTGAGCACCTGAGGAATTGGGAAGGGTAGACAAGCTAGACCCCTTCCTGCCCCATCCGCCTGCCTCCTGCCCTCCCTGGTTTGGGGTGAGGAGGGGTGGAAAGGCCAGTAAGTCATGTGAAAGAGTACGTAACCCTTTTGGTGCTCTCCCTCAGCATACCGGGCAAAATATTGCCAATTTACCAGATCTCAAGATAACCTCGTGTTCTTCCTCTCGTGAAAGGGCACGTTGTACCACGTGAGGCACGTGTCTCCAAGCGGGACGCTCGAAGCACGAGGTGAAACGGCTTCACGGCGAGATGCCAGACCAGCAGCGGGCTCTGCAGAAACAGCAGAGGCTCAGATGAGCCCTCGGAAAACAAACAAAGACTCCCTCCCCACCCCCCAGCCCCATTTAAAAGTCGATTTGCAGAGGAACAGCACGGTGTCACTTCCTTCCCCTACCTGAAAGCAGAAATTCCTCTCTCCTTAATAAAGCGATCGTCTGCCACGCTCCAGAAACTTGACTGTTCAGCCTGGAGAGGAGAAGGCTCCGGAGTGATCTTCCAGTGCCTTCCAGTACTTAAAGGGGCCTACAGGAAAGCTGGAGAGGGTTTTTTTACAAGGGCGTATAGTGTTAGGACAAGGGGCAATGGATTTAAACTGGAAGAGGGGAGATTTTGATGGGATATAATGAAGAAATTCTTCCCTCTGAGGGCAGTGAGGCACTGGCACAGGTTGCCCAGAGAAGCTGTGGCTGCCCCATCCCTGGAAGTGTTCCAGGCCAGGTTGGATGGGGCTTTGAGCAACCTGGTGTAGTGGAGGGTGTCCCTGCCCATGGCAGGGGGTTGGAACTGGATGATCTTTGAGGTCCCTTCCAACCCAACCCATTCCAGGATTCCGTGATTTCTGTTTAGACCGTGGTGTTTAAATACGTGTTGAAAAGCCGCAGGCTCCCTCGGAAAGGGAAGAAACCTTCTGGCCTGGTCTCCTTGCGCTCCAGGCTGCGTGCCACTGAGCAGGGACCTCTGATACCAGCCCTTTCTGCACCCTGGGACTGCGCTTAGAAACAGAGGGGACGGTGCAGAGATGTCCAAGAGACCCGAAATCGGGCCAAGAGGAGATGGGAAAGGTCTGTGCTCCCAGCACGGAGGATGAAGGGTGAGGAAGGCCAACCTCTGTTTATTTAAGTGCATCACATCAGCTGCCTGGGCTCTGGCACAGAGGGACCGATGCCCTGGCAGAGACCTTGTTCACATACACGCACCTCAAGTAGTTTTGTTTTTTAAAAACCTGGTTCTTTGTTCTCCAGTTATTTTTTTGTTTGGAAACTTCACAGGAGTCCTCGTGTTTCGCTGCTGTAGTTAGTGCTGAAAATGGGTGTCGTGCTCACGCTGCTGTTTGGAATGTCGAGCCAAGCATTGAGCTGGATCCTTATTCCATGTTTTAGTCACCCTTGGGAAATGCTGTGGACTGGCAAGGGAGAAACTTCAGCAATGCCAGCTGCTTGGAGGAAAACAAAGCAGTAAGAGAGGCTGGTAATAGATTTTGTTGTTGTTGCAAGAAATACCCGACGTTGATCTATGATGTTGGAAATAAGGTTTTTTTTCTTTTCCTGATGTTGGGAATACAAAATGTTGTGGTTTTGTTTGAGGTGAGAAGTGAAAAAGGGAGCTTGCTGCAGTGTGGCTCTCCTTTACGTACCGAGCAACATCCTGGTGGTCTCGGCTGAGCCAAGATTTGGCAGCCGCGCAGCTTACGCCCCGGTGTGTTGCCGTTTTTGTTGAACCTGACTTCAGTTCTTTGCTTTGTCCCACCAATTCTGGCAGCGTTTCGCGGAGTGAGCAGCTCTCGGTGTCGGTGTACTGCTCTGCTGCGGTTTGGGAACCCGGCAAGAGGCTTTTTTGTGTGTGTTGGGTGGTTTTTTTCGGTCCCCTGCACGTAGATAAAGCAGAAGTGGTTTTTCTGCCTTCAAAGGGCTCCGAGTTTGCAAAGATTGCAGTGGAGATTCTCTGGCTGTTTTGGTGGCAGTTGGTTAGCAGCAGACTTAACCCACAAACATTAAAATTAGTACCGAGCTGGCTTATTTCAGAAAAGTGAAAAAAATGCCTTAGAACTCGTTCAAAACCCCTGCTTCTGGTGCAGATTGGACCATGCTGACGTAGAAGAACGCGGAACGCAGCTCTCATGGCAATGTTACGAGATGATTTCAGCTCCAGCCATGCTGAGCAAACTTTGGACAACCCCAGAGCCTGCGAGGTGCGCTCCTGAACGGCTGGGTGTGGGAAGAGCCCTGCTTGGGGATGGGAGGAGTAAAGCTCAGTGTCTGCTGTCAAACACCACGTTTAATCGCAGCGTCTCGGCTTGCAGGGAACGAGAAATCCCTGCTGGTGTTGGTGAGAGCTGGGAGCTGCTGGTGACATGTGCGGGGAGGAGCGGGAGGCGCCTGCACTGCCCGAGCGTGGGTTCGGAGCGGTTCGGAGCCCACATGCCGTGCAGCCAGGGAAGTGGTTTGGGTGTGTGGGGAGCCGAGGCTCCTTGCTCCCACTGGGACAAACCAAACCCATAACGTGTCACGGACGGGGACCTGCCATCGGCTTGTGAGGGCAGCGCCTTCGCGTTCTGCACTGAAACGCTTCGTCCCTTCCCGTGCGCCAAAAAGGGGTGATTTTGGTGGTTTTCACCTCTCAAAGGAGACTTTATATTTTTCTCAAGCATCGTATCTACGCAGAACCCCTCTTGGGTCAGCGCTGCCATGGTGGGTGGCGTGATCTCCGAAGGCTCACCCATCCCACGCTTCCCGAGAGCCTGTTTCATCCTTAAAAAGCGCCGGCTAGGTTTCCTGCTGCTCATGCACCTTTTCTGCATGTAACCCTCAAGGTTTTTAGCTCCAAGCAGGACTGCCGTCGCGCTCAGCAAAGGCAGCGGTGTTTTGGGGAAGAAGCGATGCTGTTTCGCTCCGGGTGTGTGTCCGGTTGTGGAGGAGCATAGGCAGAGAGTGGTCATCACGCCTGTGGTGCCCACAGGTCGGTACTGCCGAGGAGCAGGAAAGCTCGTGGGTTGCAAGGTGCCTTACAAGCGTCTTGGATAATTCTTTGTCACTTGGATTGGGAAGTAATCCTCTGTGAGAGGCGGCGTTAATGGGGAGGGACTTTTTATGAGTGATAGGACAAGGGGCAATGGATTTAAACTGGAAGAGGGGAGATTTCGATGGGATCTAAGGAAGAAATTCTTCCCTCTGAGGGTGGGGAGGCACTGGCACAGGTTGCCCAGAGAAGCTGTGGCTGCCCCATCCATGGAGGTGTTCAAGGCCAGGTTGGATGGGGCTGTGGGCAACCTGGTGTAGTGGAGGGTGTCCCTGCCCATGGCAGGGGGGTTGGAACTGGGTGTTATTGAGGTCCCTTCCAACCCAAACCATTCCATGAGTCTGAAACTCGCAGCTCTCCCTTCCCCTTCTGCGCACTTGCGCAGCCGGCATAGGAGAAGGGGTTCAGCCCCTACCCACCATCGCACCAGGCTCCTCCTCTGCCTAAAAAGGAGCCCACATCTTTTCATGTGGCGATCCGCGCGCTCGCGCTTACGAAAACAGCATGTGCTCAAGGCTTGGAACGCACCCCTAGCGCCGGCTCTGGAGAGGGATCGGGATGAAAGGGTTGGAAACACATTGCACAAAATCCGTCCGATGCCGAAATGCAGTCGCTTTTAATGGGAGCTGTGTGCGGAGAAACGCTCCGCCCTCTGAACTAGAGGGGGTTTTGACATCAGACTGGTTTATTTTTTCTCTTTTCTGCTCTCCTGTTTAGAAATGGCATCAGACGTTTCCTCGCTGGGTGCCACCGTCGGCTCCGGGAACCCTGGCCCGGCTGCCCAGGCTGGAGGAGCCATCGTTCAGAGGGCCACCAAGAGGCGTCCGGGGTGAGTGTATGTGCTCTGTGCGCCTGTGGCTTTTTGTTTTTTGGGGAGGAGGTGGGTGTGAGAAGGGTGTTTTTGAGGAAGAATTGTTCTCCTGAAAGAGCGGTCAGTCTTGCGATGAGGAAATTTGTCTACTTCTAAGCAAAGAGGAGTTTCCTGGCTCCTTCAGGTCCTTTTGCTTTGCAATGGCATATGCCAGTCCTGCCCGTTGCAGCCACGTTCCGTGTTGCATGTCAAAAGAGGGGATTAAAAAGTTGAGTTGCACCTCGCAGGAGCAGAGGGTTGCTCGCCCAGGACTGGGAGTGGAACAGGAGTCTCTGAAGCAGCGAGACAAGCCCGTTGCTGCAAGAGAGGTAGAGGAACAGGGAACGTGAATGCTGGGACTGTGCCTTCTGGGAGCGGGGAGGGGGAAGCCACAGTGTGCTCGTGGTGGGCTTTGTGTTTGCTAAAAATGCCTTTGCAAGTTTAAAGTGTGTTGAGCGGCTTCTGTTAGATCCCTGGGACAAGAAATTTCCTCTTAATTTTCGAGCTAACTAAAACCTCTCCCTGCCCCAGTCACCCAAACTCCGTTTACTGGTGCTCCCACTCCCCTGCAGCTCCTCCCACGCTGTCTGTGACTCGTTCCTCGACTTCATTTACAAACACGGACGCCGCTGTGCTGCATCTACACGCCAGCTTCCATCCTGAGCGGCGCTGTGGTGAAAAGCCTCTCCTCCATCCTCCCACACACCCGCCTTAGAAATGGGTTTTTGGCCCTGTTAGAGCAAACACGGTGACGTTGTCCGTCGTTCAACGGCAGGCGCTGACCACGCAGGTCACCAGGCTGAACTTCAACTCTTGAAGTATTTTGCCCTCCTCTTTGTTTTAAAACCCAACTGATCCAAGTGATTTGGGAGCGCTGCGTCTGTAGTCTGATCGGCCCCTCGAGCAGTGAGGGGCAGTCGTGGCAGCCTGTTGGATCGCTGCTCCGAGCTCCAGAGCTTTGGGAACAGGAGTGGTGATGTGGTGGATGCTCCAGGGGGGTTTTCTCTCTTCTGAACTGTTCCCTCGCTGATGGACCTGTAAAGGAAGCCCCTGCTAAACTCTGTGGGTTGTTTCACGTTGGCCCTGGGATCGCTTCAGTCTTCCTTTCAAGAATCATTTCCGTCCCCTTAGGGACAGATGGAAAAGCAACTCGTAAAGGAGAAACCATTTGGGTAATGATTATCTTCTTGCTCCTGTTTTTCAGGCTGGATTTTGATGATGATGGAGAAGGGAACAGCAAATTCCTCAGGTGAGGAAGAGCATCACACCCCGAAGTTTCCGTTGGGTGGTTTGGGTGTGGCTGTGTGTTCCCCCAGAGCAGGAACGTGCTGCTCCTGTGACTTTTCCTCTCCAGCAGCACAGAGGGGAGCAGGGGGAGTCTAAAGGAGACAGCGCTCCGCTTCCTCGAGCTCTTCCCTCTCTCCCAGTCAGCAGTGCGCCTCCATCTCTGCAGCTGGTGCCAAAGCAGAGCTGCTGTGCGCGTGGGGTCTGTGAGCCCAGAGGAGGGGCTGTGGCTGGGAGGGGTTCCCGTTTCTCCTTTGGGTGAGGTCTCCATCTCAGGTCTCCCTGGTGGGCCCCGTAGCGAGATGAGGTCAGCTGAAGAAGAGCCGTGTGAGCCCTGGGTTGAAAATGGTGTTGCAGAACCTCCGTGATGATGTCGCTGCATTCGATACCAGCGTCTCAAAAGGTTAAATAGTTTCCATGAGTGCTTCCAGCAATCCGCCGGTTGTTCCAGAGCAGCGCTCTAGGAGCACTGCTGCTGGCCAAGGCCCTCTTGATGTGGAGAAGTCTTCTGCCAAACAGCTTATCGGCACAACGGCGAGATGCTGAGCTTTTGTTAGTGCCTCAGACATGTCTGTTGTGAAGACGCTTCAACTTACTCCACAGGAGGAGTTGGCAGGACTGCAAGTATCTCCTCTTGTGATCCATATGGAACACAGAAGAGTTGGAAGATCTCATGTCATTGATTTGTAGCCTCACTACATGGTTTGGGGTTGGACAACTCTAGTGATGCTGGAAGTCCATGTGTTAATCTTTTGAAGATGACTGTGGAATGACTTTGAGATGAAAATGGTCCTGGTGAACGTAGGATTTACCTACGGAGATCCTTTGGATGAGGGTCTTGATTTGGGCTAACGGTGGCTTCCGAGTGCAGTCGAACCTATTTCTTTGCGTGTGGTTGTACCTCAATCACTGAGAGTGATGCCACTGTCCTCGATTCGAGTGTGACGTGGAAACATCCTCCATAAAAATAATGAAACTGTAGGCTTTTAACTAGATAAATGCGGGATATGGTTCTGGATTGCCCGAGGGCAGCAGGTCGGCTCTCTAACACCAGGCCTATTTTGCATTTATTAAACATTGTTCTTCTCTCAGTGGCTTTGGGAAAGAAATAAAGTGTAAACACTTCAAGAACTCTTCTTCCTCTCCCCCTTCTCCTAGATGTGACGATGACCCGATGCCAAACGATAAAGAGAGGTTTGCCAGGTAAGCGTCTGCTGTGATGCAGGTTTGAAGCTCTTGGTGCCAAACCACCTTCATGTAAGAGAGACCCTGCAGCACCCTCCTAACGAGCGCTTAGATTGTCTCTCTTGGAAGGAGGGTGCACCAAAGGATGCAGACATTTGCCTTGATGTTTTTTGGACCAGTTTGTTATGAGTGTGATGAAATTACGTTCCTCTTTCTCAGCATTTCTTTCAGCTGTTGCCTTGAGCTCTCCTTCCTTTCTCCTGCTCAAGAAGCTTGCAGAGATAGAAGTTTCGTGCTTAGTCTTGCTTGAGCAGGGTTTCCTGCCAAATGTTGTGGTTTGTGTGTTTTGGGGGGGAGCTGGGCGGAAGCTTTCTCTCTAAATGGGGGATCTCCTGGAGATCAGAGGGTACAGTGACATCACAGGTGATATTTTGACTCTGATTGTTTGCTGCTTGGTGTCTGAAGGTAGCTCTGTACCATCTAGCACTGAGACTGACCTCACAGTGTTTTCTCAGCTTTCTGAAGCCCGTGGAACTCCATTCACATGTTTCATGGGTTTATTTTGTGTTGACATGTGATGCTTTTGCCAAAGTGAGGTTCTTTTGTTCATGTTGCAAGTGATGTGATTCCAGGGTGTCCCCTCAGCCTGAAGGCATGGCATCCCGTGTCTTGCGGAGGGATAAAATGATCAAAAACGGGTTAATGACCCAGACACTGTGCTTAGTGCTTGTCCTAAGGAGGGGTCCGATTTCATAAATTCCTGAAATTGGAGTTAAAATTCAAGTGATTGAGGGCACCCAGCACGTTGTGTCAAAGAGCCTGAGGGTCAGCAGGGCAGATACCATTGCAGGGTGAGCCAGGGGTGATGTTGGGTGCAGGGGCCTTTCCCTGCGGTTTCGCTGGGGTCATGCACTGAAACTGGTGGTCTGGAAACGTTCCAGGCGGAGGTATAAACCTGGGTCAGGCTCTCCATGCAGAGGGGCAAAAAGCTTGCAGGTCACAGTCATGCTGTTCTCTGCCAGAGGGCTCGTGGGAACATCTGAGCTGGGGTTCTCCAGCTTTTTGAGAGGTTTGACTTGTTCTGAAGTCAAGCAGATTAGAAATGTGTTGGCCAGCCCACGCCGAATGACTTTGTTCCCCAGTGCAAGTCATGAGCTGTGGGGACTTAAGGTGTACAGACCATAATAATGCGCTGAGATAGTGCAAAATACCAAAAAAGCACGTGGTAGGTGAGGAAGGAATAAACAAAACAACGGAACGTCGCTTGTGGACTGTGAAAGTGTCTGTGGTGGAGCCTCAGCAGCACCCGTGCGCGTCGAGCAGAGACGGTCGCCGGCGAGGACGGCGGCACGTGGTGGCGCGGTGATGGGTGCTGACGTCCCGAGTGCGGCGGTAGGAGAAGCGAGGGGCAGTGCCCGCCCCCGTGCCCCCTGGCCTGCCCGTAGCGCTCGGGTCTGTTTTCTGGGACTGCTGGTATCGTGCTCCTCGCAGCTCTGGTTTTCCAGCACGTTCTTCCCTTGGACACCGCCAGGCAAAGCAGAGCACGGAAGTGAACAGGACTGTTTAATTTTTCTCGTCCTGTACTGAAACCTGTTGGAAGTGGAAGGGTGGCACAGCTGGCTGGTGCTAAAAACCCCTCCTGTATCCCTAAATCCGCAGTTACATTCTCGGTGCTCAGCCTCTGAGAGATTGTGGGACCTTCTCCTTTCCTGGCAGTAGCTTTTGGGGGATTATTTGTTTTCCAAGGCAGCCAAACCTCGAGGAGGAAAAAACCATCAGCCTCTGTAAAACACGGGTTTACAGCAGATTCCTCTTCCCTGGGCACCGAAAGCATGAGCAGGTTGGCGGGGGTGTCCGTGTGCCCCTTCGCAGAGGACGTACGTAACGTCTCCGTGCCATCTGTCACGGACTGTGTTGTCCTCAACGGTGTTTATGCAGCAGCGTCACGAAAACGTGTGTTTTTAGCTGTGAGTCTTACCCTGTTTGTGGATTTTGGGGTTTTTTAACCTGCTTTTCTGATTTGTTAATACTATCAAAGAGACTATTCATTTATATTTTTTTTTCTTTAAAGAAAGAGATATTTAATGTGGCTGGGACCGTAATTCCCAGTTCTGCCATTAACCTTCCAACCTTGTGCAGAATAATCTGCACCTCGGTGTCGTATGTGCCCATTTTAGTCTTGGTGAGCATCTTGAAACTTCAAACCAACGTAGGCAGGCGCCCGTTTGATGTGGGATGTTGCAAACTAATGACTGCTTTGTTTTGTGGAATTGCTCCTCTGCAAAAGAGACGTGTCTGTAGGCTGGATTTCCTCGTACATCTTCCCATTTTTCATTTCTTTAAACTTTTTCCATTTTAGCTTAGATCGCTGATTTTATTTTTAGGTCTGATGATGAACAGAGTTCAGCGGATAAGGAGAGACTTGCCAGGTAGGAGAACGGAGATTTCAAGCATGGACAAGCAGAGTATTCCCTTTCCTTCATGTTTCTCCAGGCATCCCTTCTCTTTTCCCCCCCCTCCTTCCCTCATCTGCTGCAGTAGAGGACTTGAAACCCAACAGATTTCTGGAAATCGTGGTGCAGTCGGAATTAGGAGGGGAAGGACACGTAGCCCCCTTGTGAGCATGTCTTTGGGAATACACGGAGGGGTTTGTTTGCCCAGGGTCGCAGGGCAGAGCGTGTTTTCTACCCCTTTAAAGCTGCCAGGAAGGATGGTGCCCTGCACATTACTGCAGTTTAGGCTTACTGAAAACAGGATTTATATTTTTTTTTTTCCCCTAAAGTTCCTCTTTGCAATTATTGAGGGACTGGGGCTGAAGTGACCGAAGCAGGCATCTCGAGCGCTGCGCCTTAACGCAGACACGTACCCCGAGAGCGTGTGCGCGTGGCTGCAGCTGGTCGAGGTGGTGTGTTGTCAGGACTGCACTTCTCCAGCAGAAAAACACCAACTCCAAATGCACCCTTTCCTGTTCTCAGCTGCAGAAATAAAAACTGCATCCATCACCATCAAGGGTCCTCTTGCTCGCCACCCACAGCTCGTCGCTGCTGCGGAGCTGAGGGTTGGTCGTTGGTGAAGAGGGGCTTGTTTTGTGGCTTGGCATCTTCACGCTCACCCTGTAACTCCCTGGGACCGTTCCACCCTCGGCTGGTTCTTAAGCAACGCACAGGACTGAAAAACTGTCTTGGGTGCTGAGAATGCCACAGTTCTGCTCAGTTTATTGCCTGCTGGCTGGTTTTTAAAACCAAAACTAAGCTCCAAACACTGTCTGCAGTGTTGGCATAGCTTAAATATTTGAGGAGATAAGGAGCCCGTGGAGGTGGGGCTGGCAGTGCTGCTCGGGGATGTCTCCTCAGGGAACCAGCGACCCTTTCCTCTGTCCCAGTCGTGGCTGCTGTGCGAGAGCCTGTAGTAAGGAATATTTGGCAGCGGGGCAAGTAAAATGTCTGGTGGTTTCCCAGTAGCTTTTGTGGTGAAGGCAGCTTCGTTTTCACACGTGAGCATGTGAGTTTGGAGAAACCGAATGGAAGGTGAGTGTGATCACCGAAGCACTTCTTTTTCTGAGTATCAGTTTCTTGCACCGAGGAGGAAGGTCATGGAATGGTTGCACACACCTGGTAGTGATAAATGCTCTGGTTTTTTTTGTATTTATCCTCTTTAGTTCACTTGCCTGTCTGTGTTCCTTCCAACACTTTCAGCTCATTCTGTTTCCCACCATGTGCTTCCTCGCATCTGTTCCATCCTTCTGAATAGGAAACCTGGCTTTTAAGTTCTGCTTTGAAACCCCCACCTTAGCAACCCAGTTAAACTACAAACCCTGGAGAAAAAGAACCAAGTCTGAACAGGTTATGTTCTCATCTCCGGAGGTGGATGGGGACCGTGCCCTGTGAGCACACTTGCAAAAGGTGTGTGAGGAACGTCTTTCAGGACTGAGAGTGGGTTTGTCGTGGTGCCTTTTTAGAGGTCTGCACGTGCCACCCAGCTGTGGGTGGGTCTGCCCACGTTGGCCATGGTCTGAACAGAAATCAGGTGTATATCTGCTCGAAAGCTTTCCCTGCTGCCGCGGTGTTGTAGAAAGGCTCCTGATGTAACTGAGAAGGACCTTCCTAAGAGCACCGCGAGGTGAGACTCGTCCGTTGTAATTTAGGTGCCCAAGTCTTAGCTGCAGCCCTGACCTCCTGGTGTGGTTGTGGGAGACAGTGGGTGTCTGAGAGGTGATGGTGGAGGGGATTTGATTCATCCTTGGGCAAACTGGGGGGGATGAGTCGTCTTTGCCTGCACCAGTGCTGTTGAAAAGCAATTTTTGTCAGTAAAGCGAGGTGAACCCCACTTGGAGAGCAGAGGCCGTGGTAAAGGAAGAAATCCCTTGGCTGGCAGTGATGTGGGATTGATGGGGAAGCTTCCTTCTCTGCGAAAATAGCTTAGCCCGGCTCGGTGCCTTCCGCAGACGCCAGGGAAGCGATGGGATTTCCAGCGAGGCTCTTGTCCGCAGCAAAGAAGGTCCAGCCGTAGGCTCTCCTCCCCGCACTCGTCCCTCGTCCCCCCGTGCACGCCCAGCATGCCAGGCGCTTGCAGTCCTTCTAACTCCCGACGACCCCGGCGCATCTCTGCGTTTCGCGCTCTGGCCTTGCCGTGGGGAAACAAAACGGCCGAGGCTTCTGGCCCGTCGGTAACTTCGTCTCCCTCCTCTCCTCCCTGGCCCTTTTGCAGGGAGAATCACAGCGAGATTGAACGTAGGCGAAGGAACAAGATGACTGCCTACATCACAGAGCTGTCAGATATGGTGCCCACCTGCAGTGCCCTGGCCCGCAAACCAGACAAGCTCACCATCTTGCGCATGGCTGTCTCGCACATGAAGTCCCTGCGTGGCACAGGCAATACCTCCACTGACGGCACCTACAAACCCTCCTTTCTCACTGACCAGGTCTTGGCTTGACGCTGCTTTCTGGGGGAATACTGCCATCAGAAGGGGGAATGAAATCGTGGGCGGGGGGCAGGCAGGCACCCAGGATGGGTTTAGAGGGCTTCACCCGCTCGGCCGCGGAGTTAAGAGCGTGTCCGTCTGTCTCTGAATGCAGGAGCTCAAACACCTGATCCTAGAGGCAGCCGACGGCTTTCTGTTCATCGTGTCCTGTGAGACGGGGAGGGTGGTCTATGTCTCCGATTCGGTGACTCCTGTCCTGAACCAGCCCCAGTCGGAGTGGTTTGGCAGCACCCTGTATGACCAGGTGCACCCGGACGACGTGGGCAAGCTGAGGGAGCAGCTCTCCACATCGGAGAACGCGCTGACAGGTAGAGCAGCCTGGGAAGGGATTGGCAGGGGCGGGCGGTGTGAAAGCCTGCGGAGGACTTGGATTAAAACCTTCCCTTTGTAGAAGGAACCAAACCCTGGTGCCTTTCTAACAAGGATCCTGCAGCCCCCCCTGAGAATGCATCTAAAGGTACCATTGGTGACACTCGTGTCCTGCTAGTTCCCTGGTGCCTGCGGTGGTGCTGCAACGCGAGTCCTCTCACCATCATCTTCTTTCTTCTGTCTTCAGGTCGCATCCTGGATTTGAAGACGGGGACCGTCAAGAAGGAAGGCCAGCAGTCCATGCGGATGTGCATGGGCTCACGACGATCCTTCATCTGCCGAATGAGGTAATGGGGAGGGTCCTCAGGGAAATCTCGTTTGAGCCTGAAGCTGGACTCGCTCCCTGGCCCCTTCGTGCTTTTGTTCCAGCTCGTTTTGCTCCTTCTGATGTAGACAAGATATAGAATCATAGAATCATAGAATGGTTAGGGCTGGAAGGGACCATATAACATGGCTCAGCCTTCCACACAGGGCTAAGAGTCGAGATCTTGAGATTTTTCTTTGCCCTGTGCTAAGATAGCTCTCGAGACTGTTGTTCTATGAGGTCCAGTTTCAAGTAACAATTCGTTTTGACCCCATCTCTCACCTCTCTTGAAGTCCGTAGAAGGGCTTTTCCCTCGTGTGATGGAAGTTCATCCCTGTTTATAGAGTGCTTCCTCTTATTCAAGATTGTCCAGTTGTTTTGCTGTTGTCCAAGGAAGATAAAAGCCTTTCCCCTCGCGTGTCTAATTCTGGTGCAGGTGTGGCAACAGCTCGGTGGATCCAGTCTCCGTAAATCGGCTCAGCTTCATGAGGAACCGCTGCAGGTAAATCACACCGCAGCTACGGGCGAGCACGCTGCATTGCTGGGGCAGGAGGAGCTGCAGCTCTGGTCAAAGTGGTGGGGACACTGTGGTGAGTGTCTGCAGGGTGGGTAGTACAGCTCACAGGAGAGTTTGGATAGAGCTGCGGGTAGAGGAGCGAAAATATCACAATGTTGAGGGAGATAATCCTGGGGAAAACTAATCTTTCTTTATTCCAAGATTGGATTTGAAGTCCTGTTAAAACCACATGTTCTTCACGCTGTTGTTGTTGGACTCTGACGTGTATTGTCCCTTTTTAATTTGAAATCAAGATAGATTCCAACCTATTGTCTTCTTGGACCTCTTGCATTTATTTACAATCTTCTTTTTTCACCCTGAAGATGTTCTGTGGAAGCTTTTTTAGAAACACAAGTAGAAGCCTTGCCTGCCCTTGTCCCAGGTCAATATCTAGCACAATGAGACTGTTTCTCTCCCAAGGAACGGCTTAGGTGCGGCGAAAGACGGCGAACCTCACTACGTCGTGGTGCACTGCACGGGTTACATAAAAGCCTGGCCCCCCGCAGGTAACGGCGCGGCCGGAGTCGTCAGTCGTGGCTGGTTTTAAGAGCGTGTGGTGGGAAGTTGTCCGTCCTGTGGGCTGAACGTGCCAGCAAATGCTTTCCAAATGTATCCGTTGCATTTTCTTGGTTTGAGATTGAGCTAATTTTTGCGGATGCTGGATCAGAGATCTGCGTCTCTGGGCAGTAGAGGATGAAAATAATATTGCACCGTCTGATAACGGTAGCTTGTGCTGAAAGTTAGAGATCTGTAACGCTTCTGGCAAAAAAAGGGAGGGGGAGGCAACTGAATTTACCAAATTCCTTCCTGGGAAAGGATGTTGAACTATGAAACAGGGTGGAGAGGTGTACTGAGTTGGAACTGTGTGTCGTCTTCCTCTGACATTAGCGGTGTGTTAACCTTGCTGGGATTTTTTGGCACTCCTCTCAGGTGTTTCACTGCCTGACGATGACCCGGACGCTGGCCAGGGCAGCAAGTTTTGCCTGGTGGCTATTGGCAGGCTCCAGGTGGGTGGCATCTTTCCATGGCTCAACATTGCCTTGTCCTGAAAGTCCACAGAACTTCTGTGCGATGGCCACGGATCCGACTGCAGGGCTGGCCGGTCAGGAGACAGCAGCTCCCGCGAGATCCGGTAACGCCGTACCTGTCGTACCTTGCAGGTCACTAGCTCACCCAACTGCACAGACATGAACAACGTTTGTCAGCCAACGGAGTTCATCTCCCGACACAACACCGAAGGCATTTTCACCTTCATAGATCACCGCTGTGTGGCCACGGTTGGCTACCAGCCACAGGTGAGAAACCGGTAGGAGCGTGCTGAGAAGGAACTGCTGTTGGAGCTCGCTTTTCCTGCCTCCCTCTCCTGTACATCATGGCTCTGCTCGTCTGGCAGATCTGACAAAACGATGCCCAGGGCCTACAGCAGACGTGTTTCTTCTCCACCCATTGCTTTGTCATGTGCTTTAATCGGTGCTTTGATCACTGGAAGGGTGGGTGGCTCTGGGTTGTGTCTGATGCCGATTGAGATGGTGTTTGCCTCCCTCTGAGGTAGAGATCAAACGTTAGTCGGCCGCCGTTGTGCTGCTCTTCAGAACGCAGCGCGCCGGTTCCCGTACGTGGTGTGTGTTACTGGGAGGGGGGAGCAGTAACTACCTGTCCAAAGTGGAACTAATGGGGCAGACCTGAAAGAGGGGGGCTGCCTGCTGGATGAGCTGACTCGGTCTCCCTCATGATTCCTTTAAAATTAGGAACTTCTGGGGAAAGACATTGTGGATTTCTGCCACCCAGAAGACCAGCAGCTTTTGCGGGACAGCTTTCAGCAGGTAAAACACTTCAGCTGCGGCTCTGCGTGCGGTGCGGTGTTCAGATTGGAATCTGTCTTGGTGCTTGCAAAGCCATGAAACTATTGGAAAACCAAGAGGAAAAGAAGCCTTAGCCATTTCTCCTTTGCCCAATGGCAAGCAGTTACAGACGTAGTCACGTAACTGTCAATGTGCAGAACAAAACAGAAGCATCTGATGTTCTAACTCTTGAATTCATCCTCTGGCTGCTAGCCCAGTCTGCTTTTAGGGCCAGAGACGTGGCTACAAAGTGCCTACGTGAATGCCATGCTTCTGTGGATGCCATGCTTCTGTGGCTGAAACACTGGTTCATCCCTAGGGCCCAGCCCAGTGCTGCAGAACCCGAAATGGATGTGGTTTGCTTGCCCTGTTGTCGTTACTCTTATTTCTGAGGGCGTTGGACTTGTGGCAGGGCAGGTAAGACTGCCCCTGTGCTTTCATGACTCCAAAAAGTAGCTGCTCATATCCATTTGTCCAAATAGTTGGAATCAGAAGCGACAGCATGTGCTTCATTTACTGGAGGCTTTTCCATACATCTCACCAGTGCAAAGAGATAAGAGAAGTGAAAGCCAAAAAGGGGATGTTCGATTCCCCTCCCATGTCATTCAGGAATCCAGGTGGCGTAAGGGTGTAGCAGCGGTGCCATTCAGTTGGGGAAAAGCGGGATGTGGTCTCGGAGGCTTTGAGGCAAAGGGCCATCACGAGGTGGTAGCGGGGGGTGGCTTGTGCTCAGAAGCAAGTTGCTCTTCAACACCTTCTTTTATCAGGTTCTACTGATGGCATTACGTTTTTTTAGGTGGTGAAGTTAAAAGGCCAGGTTCTGTCAGTCATGTTCCGATTCCGATCCAAAAACCGGGAATGGCTCTGGATGAGAACCAGCTCCTTTACCTTCCAGAACCCCTACTCGGATGAAATTGAGTACATCATCTGTACCAACACCAACGTCAAGTATGTACATGGAAATGACTTGCCAAGCACCAGTGATAGCACACGAACCTGGTGGGATCCTGTCCCAGAATAACCGGCAGCACGGAACTGCGGGACCTTCGGCCTCTCCCCCTCTCTAAGCTTCCCACCAGTTTGCACAGGCCCTGGAGAAGCCGCCGAGTCCCACCAGCACACTTTCCCTGGGCCGTGGCAGGCACTGGAGGACTGTAAAGTGCAAGGAATGTAATTCCTTTGGCTGTCTGGGTTGTATGGCTTAGCAAGCTGCCAAAGCTCAGCTCCACAGTGCCTTTTGTAACTGGTTACTGGAGCAATTTCCCAGTAACATTAGGGAAGTCTGCCTCTGAACGTAGCTCCTGGACTCCAGTGCCAGCCTGGGGCGGGCAGCTGCTCCGCAGAGCGGCTCTTCACGGGAGCAGGACTGTCTGCAGCTCCGGGTAGAAAGTAAACACTGATTTTTCTCCGCTGCAGCAGTTCCATCCCTGGATTCAGGAGCGAGCCCCGGCGGCTGCTCCCGTTGCTGCTCTCTTTTCCCTCTCGTGACTGTTCTGGTGGGCTGCTGCCTCTCGGGAGCGATCAGAGCTGCTCTCTTCCCAAGAGTGGGCTCCAGGCCCCTTACGGAAAAGCAGCAACCAAAATACGGGTCCTTTTTTTTTTTTCTTCTTCTTTCTGTGATTTCTAACTGCAGGCTTGGTGGGTGCAGCAGAAGGAGTCGTGCCAGCCAGGCAAACAGAAGGCTAGCTCGTTTGTGGGCAGGGGAAAAGGCAGGATTTTCATTTTTTTTTTAACAAAGCAAGGTCCTAGAGAGCAGGTAGCTTCTTCCCTTCCTGCGGCTGGCAAGCTGATGCTTTCTGATGAGGAAGTAGCAAGAGTTGAGCAGTGACAAATGCCCCTGGCTTCACAGAGCCGTGGTGCCCGTGCAGGGATCAAATCTGATGCGGATCCGATGCAGACCTTAATTCCTGTCCCGGGGCTAGAGATATCTCTTTGAACTCATTCATTCCACACGCATCCATTCTCACATCCATGCTACACCTTCTGCAAGCTCTGGGAATTCAGCCCAGGGCAGCAGCAACCCGTGTCTGTGTTCGAGGTGCGTTTTATCTACCTGCATCTGTGCCAGGTTATTCGTCTTCGAGATCGGTTGCTGCTGAAGCAGGAGCTTGCGAAAGAGCTGTCGAGAAAACGCTGGATTTTTGTTCCTTTCTTGTGGGAGTTAAACATTCACTGACTCCTGGCAGTTAACAGAAGAGCGTAACGAACTCCACCGACGTCTTGGGCTTAAAACCCCAAACTGCTGGTGGTCTCTGCAGGCTCTCGCCCCGGAGTGCCTGGCACAGAGCTGAGTGGAAAACCCTGGGGGTTTTTTGGTTCCTAAAACCTTTGCTTGTGCTTGAAGGATGATGCAGGCCTGGCCGTGCTCCTGGTGTGGGTTATTAATTGCTCCCCTGCTCAGTGACTGAGCCGGGGGGTGCAGAGCCCTTCGGCTCGCCGCCCGTAGGCGGGGACCCC